CCCCACACTCCCTGCAGAACTCGGCGCCCTTCCTCCGTTTCCCTCTCGAGCCTGTCCCTCCCCACCCCCCAGCCTCCCCCTTCCCTTTCATCATTACCCTCTGAAGCTTTGGGTGTCTGGGTCCCCCTCCCCCGCTTCCTCCCTCCTCCTGACATCTACTCCGCTCTTGTGGGGCCTCCCCCTGCAGCCCTGTCTTTCACACTCTGTTTTCACCGTCCCTTTCCCATTTACGCGCACAGACACTGGGCACCGTGGTACAGGTGCCTGCGCAGTGCTGATGCGGACGGGAGGGGAGCGCACGGGCAGAGGGGCCGGCTGAGGGCGGCACGTTCTAAACGCAAATCTGGCCTCCCAAGTTGCTACGAAGCTGTGTGTGCCAGGTGCGGGGACAGAACCCACTTCCGCTGTCTAAAGGCACCGCCTCCGTACTAGGCGAGTGGCCCACAGGTCACCTCCCTGGGACCCGCCAGAGCCAGGCCGGCCTGCGAGACGTCCCTGGGCGGCAGCTGAGTCGCCCTCGGAGCTGCACGCACTGTCACCGCACAGGAATGTTTTACGGGGTAGCTTTCAAGGGGCCCCCGAGCAGACGTGAATTTTGCAAAACGTCTGATGGAACGAGTTGGCCCGTCCCACTATACTGGGTCCAAAGACGAGCTCAACGGCTGTCCCTTCCTCTTGGTGTGGGGTTCGACGGGAGGAGGCCACCATCGGAGGCGGGGGTCTCCGTGTCCTTCCTGTCCCCTTGTACCCCTCCCCGCCACGCGGCAGACTTTCTGCGCTTCCAGGAGCTGCCCCGGCCCCTCCCGCAGAGGCTGGCCCGGGCAGCCCCGCGCTTCCCTGTCACGCAGGGCAGGTCTCAGGTGCAGCAGCAGCCGAGCGGCTGGTGGCGGGCCACTGTCACACGGCCGCCCTCGTGGCGGGCGCCCCCTGCGGGCCGGGCCTGCGAACGCGCAGATCCGAGCCTTGGGCGTCGTGCCGTGGGGACGCCCGAGCTCCTGGGGCTACAGCGCCGCGCCCGGGGGTCCTGTAGCAGTGCCCCAGCGGGGGCGGCGGGGAAGAGGGGCGTCCCGGGAGAGGGGCACCCCGAGCTCGGGCCGCCTGGCGGGAGGAAGCGGGAAGGGTGCGCAGGGAGTGGGGAGGTGGTCGCTCCCTTCCACCTGGAGCCCCCTCCTCACCTGCAGGCCTCCGACTAAAGCTGGGCGTCTCTCCGCCTCCAGCTGGTCCTCAGCCCACACCAGCCCCTGCTGCGCCCGGGGAGACGGGAGTGGGTCCTCCCGTCCCAGGGGGCCCAGGCCTGTCCTGCGTCTCGGCGGGGTGGAAGTGGCCTGCAGACTCGGGCTGTCCTGCCCAGGGGAACGCCGCGTTCTCTACCCAGAGCACTCCGAAGCACCCCGAAACACCCCGAAACACCCCGAAACACCCGGCAGAGAGGTTTGTTTGTTCATTTGTCATGGGTCCCAAGCCCCAGGAAATGGTTTGGAAAGGCCTCTGCTTCTCACCCCAGGCGGGAGGCTGCACCACACCCTCCCCAGCTGGCCAGCAGCTGGCGGAGCCCTGAGAGGCTTTCCAGAAGTGTCGGGAGAGACAGACAGGAGGTCAGCGGCTCCCACCGGGCCAGACACAGCACTTCAAGACAGGACGCTGAGGCCCGGAGGAGCCCGAAGCCTGGAACAGATGGCTTTTTCTTTCAGTGGACACGGTCAGAGCCAGCCTGCCTCCCCCATGCCCGGCCTTGGCCAAACCCGAACTCCCCGCAGCGCGGTGGGGAAAGCGTGGGTGTCCTTGGCCGGGACCTTCCTGGGTGGAGGCGGGTACCCGCTTGTGTTCTAAGGTCACAGATAAGGGGAAATGCAGCTCCTCCCTTCAGCTGTGGGTGCGGGAGCTTCTTCCCAGCTGGCCCTCCCAGTGGAGACCACAGTCCATAGTCCTCGGTCTTTATCAGAGAGTGACCCCCTCTCTAGCGCTCCAGCAGGTCTCCATGGCGACTGCACCTGCGGCCACCTGTCTGACCCACCGAGCACCCTGGCCTCTCCCCCATTCCTCCTGCGGGACCGAGGAATGTGGGGTTGTGGGCCCTTTTCCAGCAAAAGAATTTCCCGAGTCCCTAAATGGCTCTTGCCTGGGGCCAGGAATATGTCTGTCATGACCCTGCCTCGGTCACAATCAGTGGGAAATAGTGGCTCTCAAGACAGAGCCATTGAATCGTTTCATGCTCAGCATCAGTGAGGATGAACCCCGTGAACGGGGCATGGTGGCATGGGAGCAGTGTCTGGCTTGGTGACTGGGCCGATAAGATGACACTCGCCGGACTAGAATATGCAGGAGGACCATGTTGGGGAAAATAATGTTCTATTTGGGGCACCTTGACTGTGAGGTGCTGGGGGTGTCACCCCAGTGGAGACGCCCGGCGGACGATTGAATACAGGTGTCTAGAGCATGGGGCAGGGACAGAAGTCCAACCTGGAAGCGAACGACAGGGACTCTCCCACATCTCCTCTAACCTCGGATTCGAATGGGGCCACTCGAGGTCCCTGCACAGACCTGAGACCTCAGCGCTGAGATGGGCCCCGGCAGAGAGCAGAGGAAGGCTCTCCAGGAAAGGAGGCTGAGAAAAGCGGCCAGAGAGAAAGTGGCGACACCGGGAGGGGCCTTACAGAAAGCCCGCGGGGGGCAGGGGAGGACGGGCCGGCAAAGTCAGATGACTCAGATCGCAGTAGGATCAGACCTGCAAATGTCTGTGGGAAGATGTGGCCGCGCGAAGGTCCAAGGTGATTTCAGTGACAGTGTTTCGGGACTGAGTAAAGGGGAAGGCCCACTCTGGGGAGCGGAGTGGGGACGCGGACACAGACACACGGCGGTTAATGGGGGTGAGGAGGGGTCAGTGAGGAAGCGCCTAACGCACGTATTTGGTGAAGGGAAGAGTCAAGGGGTGGGGGAGCGAAGGGGAGCGGCAGGTGCTGAGCTGGGAGGAGGGGGGAGGAGCGGGGAGCCAGGGCGCAGCGGGGGTGGGGACGGGCGGGGGCGCGAGGCTCTGCCTCTGCAGAGGGGGACTCGGTGGTGACCGGGAGGTTAAAGAAGCTGTTTTCGGGGACGGGGAGCGCGGCATAGGGAATGCAGTCGGCATCGGCGTGAGGCCGGGTGGAGGGCCAGAGGAGAGAGCGAGCCACCGGGGCAGTCGTTTGATAAACTAGATAAATGTCTGACCAACGTACTATATACCCGAAACTCGAATTAAAATAAAATTTTTTAAAAAAAGCTGCTTTCCTCTAGGAGGTGGGAGGCAGGACCGTCTGCTGGGGCGGGTGGGAGGTGGTGGGAAGGAGCTGAGGGCGGGGGGGGGAGGGAAGGACGGGTGGGTGAAGCCAGGAGGACGCAGGTGCCGCCGGGCAGGGCGGGACGCGGGCGCTGAGCTGAGGCGGGAAGCGGGCGAGGGCCCCAGGAAGGAGCGGGCGACCAGGAGCGCAGGCAGGTGGCTGCGTCAGTACAGGCGAGAGGCGGAAGCAGCGAAGGACACGGAGGCTCGAACGCTGGAGAGTGAATTTCGGAGGTGGCACTGCTCCCGAGGACGATGCTTTAGTGGACAGGTGGGGACTGTCACAACGAGGAAGAACAAAGCCAGGGCCTCGGACAGACTTCTCGTCCGTGGTCAGAGAAGGCACGGGGGCGATGGCAGGACGAGGGACCGGAAGACGGCCAGAGAGGGGCCCAAGTCCTCAGTGAAAGATCAACGGCGGAGAACAGGGAGCGTGGGTGGTAGGAGCCTCAGAGGAAGCAAAAGCCTGGCAGTGGCGAGGAGCGCGCGGGTGGTCCCAGGCCCGCCTCGCACCTGCATCCTGGGTCCCGGGCCCGCCTCGCCCCTGCATCCTCGGTCCCAGGCCCGCCTCGCCCCTGCGTCCTGGGTCCCGGGCCCGCCTCGCCCCTGCATCCTCGGTCCCAGGCCCGCCTCGCCCCTGCGTCCTGGGTCCCGGGCCCGCCTCGCCCCTGCATCCTCGGTCCCAGGCCCGCCTCGCCCCTGCGTCCTGGGTCCCGGGCCCGCCTCGCCCCTGCATCCTCGGTCCCAGGCCCGCCTCGCCCCTGCGTCCTGGGTCCCGGGCCCGCCTCGCCCCTGCATCCTCGGTCCCAGGCCCGCCTCGCCCCTGCGTCCTGGGTCCCGGGCCCGCCTCGCCCCTGCATCCTCGGTCCCAGGCCCGCCTCGCCCCTGCGTCCTGGGTCCCGGGCCCGCCTCGCCCCTGCATCCTCGGTCCCAGGCCCGCCTCGCCCCTGCGTCCTGGGTCCCGGGCCCGCCTCGCCCCTGCATCCTCGGTCCCAGGCCCGCCTCGCCCCTGCGTCCTGGGTCCCGGGCCCGCCTCGCCCCTGCATCCTCGGTCCCAGGCCCGCCTCGCCCCTGCGTCCTGGGTCCCGGGCCCGCCTCGCCCCTGCATCCTCGGTCCCAGGCCCGCCTCGCCCCTGCGTCCTGGGTCCCGGGCCCGCCTCGCCCCTGCATCCTCGGTCCCAGGCCCGCCTCGCCCCTGCGTCCTGGGTCCCGGGCCCGCCTCGCCCCTGCATCCTCGGTCCCAGGCCCGCCTCGCCCCTGCGTCCTGGGTCCCGGGCCCGCCTCGCCCCTGCATCCTCGGTCCCAGGCCCGCCTCGCCCCTGCGTCCTGGGTCCCGGGCCCGCCTCGCCCCTGCATCCTCGGTCCCAGGCCCGCCTCGCCCCTGCGTCCTGGGTCCCGGGCCCGCCTCGCCCCTGCATCCTCGGTCCCAGGCCCGCCTCGCCCCTGCGTCCTGGGTCCCGGGCCCGCCTCGCCCCTGCATCCTCGGTCCCAGGCCCGCCTCGCCCCTGCGTCCTGGGTCCCGGGCCCGCCTCGCCCCTGCATCCTGGGTCCCGGGCCCGCCTCGGTCCTGGGTCCCAGGCCCGCCTCGCCCCTGCATCCTGGGTCCCGGGCCAGCGGAGGGCCTCGGTCCCAGGCCCGCCTCGCACCTGCATCCTGGGTCCCTGGCCAGCGGAGAGCCTCGGCTCACTTGAGGAGGGGCAGGGAGCCCGTCCTCGCCGTGGTCGAGCAGCATGTCGTCTGTCCTGCGACCTCTCCCGTGGGACAGCAGCCAGGGGAGGCGGGGACACGAGCGCCATCCGTGCTGAATGAATGGGCCGAGGGTCTGTCACAGGGCGAGGCGGGTGTCAGTCAGCCTGTCGATCAGGGCAAAAATGGCAAGGACAGGAAGTTGGGCGCCCCGGGGGTGGGGGCACTGATAGCGGATGCCACGTGCTGCCTGAGAATCAGGGTTCCAGAAAGACCCAGGGAAAAGGCTGGTTTGCACCTGGCCGTGTCCCGGGGTCTGTCATGTTGTCCCTGGACCGTTTCTCAAGAAATTCATCTCACCCGTCTTCTGCCTGAGTTTAGCGCCCACTTGGAACTCTCCACTGTGAAAGGGGGAGGAGAGGAGGGGACGGCAGTGTGACAGACACTGGTCAGGGCGGTGGGGAAACCAGGCCCGGGCAGGTGGGGCGGGCATCTGCGGGAGCCCCTGGCCCCGAGCTCTCCTGGGACGCTGGCCATCGCCCACGCGCCTGTCCCGGGGGCGGAGCTCACCTTATCAGCTGACCTCAAACCCTGCAGTCTCGTCTCTCAGACTTGGGCCCCTAGGTGTGGGGCGAAGGCAAAAAATCTTTACCTGCTATGACCCCTGCCCACACCCACCCACCCACCCAGCACATGTGACAAGCGAGGCTGGCTTGTGTCTGGAAAAGCAAACTGGGCAAGGTCCTAACCGGCCAGCCATCAGCTGGACACAAAGTCCTCGGGTTGTGCCTCTCGTCCCCGCCCACAGCCCCAGCTTCCAGCCCAATCTGGATACAGAGACTGTCTGTACCTACAGGAGGCCCGAACGCCACCGTCAGACCCCGCTTCCCCCACTCGGCTCTATTTAAAAGACAGTTTGTTTTTACTGTGACCACCGGCCTTGGTTAAACATCAGAAAAGAGACAAATCACACACGTCTCAGAAATTGAAATTTTATAAAAAGGTATTTTTCTTTCATATCCATAAAATGATATAATTTTTGCAAGTATAGAAATGTGTCATAAATTATACAGAATGTTCCTTAATTACAGCTCAATGCAACTTGGTACTTTCCTCCCTCCCTAAAAAATGAGAGAGAACCAAAAAAATAATATATATATAACTGTATATATATATATATATA